AATGAAATAATAGTACAAGTTTAAGCAAACAGAGTCAAAGTGTTAAAGAAGACATCTAAGTAGGGAAGGTGCAACATAAAAATAACTGTGTAAAAATAACTATAAGCAAACTGAAGGCTGATGTCCGCGATGTGGTCGTGAACATGTGGTGGCAGCTGGCACGGAACAAGAAGGGGCGCAGTCGTAGGCCACAAATTTTACTCTTAAATAAGCCCTGGAGCCAATGCTTAGCAACACCATGCATTAACTTTATTCAGCCTCAGATAGAAGCCGCTGACTACGCTTGAACTACGTAATCCAGACCAGCGACACACTGCCAAAAGATAATTAATAGTGCCGTTGGTCTTCAGCCACTGCTTAGCATGCTTGCTCACAAGCAGGCAGTTCCCCATCTGGCTGTACCTACTCCAACCTTACCTCTTCTGGCCTAACCTATTCACGCTGTCTCGGCTCACAGAGTTCTTGCAGCCAATGACTGGCTCTACCAGTACACTTGGACTGCCTTTCTAACTTCTTGCAGCCAATGAGGTTAGATTAGGTCCGCTCAGATTGGTTTTGGGTGGAGAAAGGCTGCAGCTCGTATAGGTTAGGCTTCAATAGGTTAGGCCAGATGAGGTTTGGCCAGATGCAGTATTGCCATGTTTACCTTTGGAAAGCTTATTTTGTGGCTGGGGACATCCAGCCCTATGGTTTTGACTTTTGAGCGTTTGACAAGTTGACTTCATAGGCCGTTATGTGCTCTAGGTGACACTAGGTCTAGCATTCTTACCTATGGAAAGGAATATGAACTAAGTTTGAAGTATGGCAAAGCTGGGCCACTGGCCTCCAGCATGTGCCCCAACAAGAACAAGTGGTAACTGGTAACAACTTAACAAGTAATAACTAACATGTTGACACTAGTAACAGGCTGAGGTTGACAACATTACACCAAAATCTTTTGTACAATTTTATTCTGTAATTTATATTATTTATCATGCTGGTTTTTAAATAATATGTAATACTATCAAGTAAAATCTAAAGGCTCTACCTATGTATGTAGCGGTAGCGTCAAAACCTTGTACCGCTACTTAAATATGTAGTGGGCACTATCGTTAACACTACAATTGCTTAAAAGTAGTGCCGCTACCGCTACTGAAAATGTAGCGGATTTTGATTTGGGGCGTGGTGACTCTGAAGAGAAGAACAACATTTCAGAGTCAGGCCTTTGCAACGGCCATCAGCCACGCATCACATTCTTCACATATTCATAAACCCCCTAGAGCGCCGCTAATTAATTTGCCGATCAGAAACTTTCCTTTGCCTCAGGATAAGAAATCCCTTCGTTCATTTTTAGGGTTGCTTAATTTTTACCGTTGCTTCATACCAAATGTATCAAATGTCATAGCCCCGTTGACTAACATGTTGCGTAAACAGTTTCCAGATAAGCTTGTATGGACGGAGGATAGGCTGAACAATTTTAGACTTGCTGTAAAATTAGTTTCAGACGATGCTGCATTAACGATACCAAAACCAGGCTATCCCTTTGAGTTGCAAACAGATGCATGTGACAGTGGTATAGGTGCCGTCTTGTACCAGAACATTCAGGGTAATCCGAAGCCAATTTCGTTTATAAGTCGCAAGCTGAACAGTGCCGAGCTTAATTATTCTGTGGTAGAAAAGGAATGTCTAGCCATTCGTTGGGCCATTGCCAAGTTTTCTGATTATTTGTATGGTAGTAAGTTTGTAGTAGAGACGGATCATGCACCTTTACAGTGGCTGCAACAGAATAAGAATAGGAATTCACGACTTATGCGTTGGGCACTCGAGCTGCAACAATATACCTTTAGTATTAAATATGTTAACGGTAAAGACAATTACCTTGCTGACATGTTGTCACGATACCCCGTTGGGTAATTTCCAAGGAGTGGAAGTGTTTAGTTAATAGTTTGTTTACCGTAGTTTGTAAGAATTCTTGTCTGTTGATAGGTTAATGAGTTGTGTAGCTTTAGACCTATGTACTGTCGATAGTATTTCATTTGTAGTTTGCTCAGTTTCTTTCACGATATCAGTAGGAAATTTCCATCTTGAGGGGGAGTTTTGTAATGAAGTGTTGCTGCAAATTTCCCACTACTGTATGTCAGACTATGAAGTTTAAGTAGGACCGACTCTGACGTCGGTGTTAGGTTCAGTATAGCCGTCAGATACTATGCCGATCCCGACTTGCGTCCTGGTTCCTCTCTTATAGGATTTTGACTCAGACGCCAGGGTAAGTTACTGCTTTGGTGGTGAAATCTAGCTTGAAATACTTGATGGAATATCGTGATTTTTGTATATATAACGACTTGTCATGCGTAGATATTTACTTTGCTTTCTGCTGTAGGATCGTGCGTTTTCTCAGATCTCAATGCTCCAGCTCTCTCCTCGCATTTTGCTCTCATCGCACTTTAACTTCCTCCGCATTTAACTTGTTAGTTCGTTCATATGCCGCACCTCTGTAAATCATTAGTGTTATTTGTTTATATTTATTTGCCGTTTATCTTTAATAAACTTAAACGTTTGTTCGAGTAACTATCCGCTCAGTCCAAGCTCTTGCTGATAAAACCAATAGGGAAGTTGAATTTAATTTCCGGTCATTGGTGGACGTGACAATTAGACCATCCGAACTTTTGAGGTGACGCGATAAATTAGCTATTATTCAAGATTAGTTCGTCACAGTAGGTAATTTTACATTTACATTAGTTATGTGGGCCGTGGCCTCTAACGCCCTGAGTGACCATCTGTGTTGTATTGAATTAGGGTAAACGCGGTATATTCCGTCACATTAAGGACGCATCGAGAAATGAAAAACTATAAAAAAAATAACCGTATGCATTACTCAAGTTCTGTTTGCTTTATGTGACTCTCAAAACACCGCACTATGTGTCAGCAACAACGAAACGTCACAAAATATTGCCATATTTATTTAAAAGCCTTTAGAATGCAAACCTACCAAATCCCTATATTCCGTCACTATGTGTGCCTGTGTGGCTATATTTGGCATGTGGTGACTCTGGTGAGGCGTATTCCGTCCGCGCTTCAAATTCTACTGATACGTAATGCCGTCTTCCACGTGTTTGAATTCCATTTGCTGTGTGAGCTGTATTGGAATACAACACGGCTTTGAATTAGAACACTAATGAATATTGAACACTACTTAATTATGCTTTTAATTAACAACTATTAAGCTTTTAATTAAGCAAATTTTAATTTTTGTACACAGCTTGGAACGATCTGTGTGTGTCACTGTGTGTCCAATTCAAGTTGTGACAAAATTAATTTTCATATGTCTAAATCCATTTCTCAACTTAATCATCTATTAATTTATTCACCTCTTGAAATCAGCAAATAGCCTACAAGTATACTTAAAGGATTCCTAATATATTCACAGACGTATTTAAAAGTCTCAAACCATAATATTCTTCCTATACAAACAGTTATTTAATATTTGGTAGAGGCCTAGAGCTAGGTCAACTGTCAAATTTGACACATTTTTTTTTTTTGACACAGCGTGCATTGTCTCTCTTTGGATCTCAATATTTTCCCACTAGATGGCCAAGACCTAGTGTTTTGGCAGTAATTTGACTCGCAAATGTATGACGTCTCATCACCATTTCAAATTTTCAACCATCAACGAACGCATGGAACTAAAACAAAGCTTAATACTTAGTCTAAATACTATAAAGGAAAAACTAGAGAGGTGACAGAATTGTCTCCAGAAATCAGTCGCTACATGCCTAGGTAGTGCGCTACTGCCCACTCACTGACGCAGTGCCCAGTCGCTAGTATGGAATATATCTACTTGGCGAGCCGCGACTGAATTTTTCGAGCTCAAGCCGTGATTCTATTTCACCGAGCCGTGAATTCCATATCTCGGCCATGAAAAGTCATTTACGAGGTGCGAATGCAAATTTATTTACAAAGTTTATGCACGTGTTACCCCAAATCTCTAATTTTACCCTTAAACAGTCAAACGGCAACGATAAAATTTGTCTCTACTGTAAGTTCAGCACGTGTTAATATACAGTCTGACCGCTTCATAGTGGCAAACCAGAGCTTTTTTAGAATCAGTTCATTTTTAATTTCCTAATTTACTCAAGATTTAAACCAATTTCTCAAGTATGATAATGCTGGTATCCAGGATACTTTACTGGTCTACTTATAGGACTCAAAAATGAACTTGAGGGAGAGTCTAAAAAACTCTCATTTAAACCAATTTCTTAAGTATGATAATGCTGGTATCCAGGATACTTTACTGGTCTACTTATAGGACTCAAAAATGAACTTGAGGGAGAGTCTAAAAAACTCTCTGCTTTGCCACTATGCATGATACTTTACTGGTCTACTTATAGGACTCAAAAATGAACTTGAGGGAGAGTCTAAAAAACTCTCTGCTTTGCCACTATGGACCGCTTTGACATGACTGCAAGTCTGCAACTATGCGCGATCTTCAACAAACGTTTTGTTTATTTGTTTACATTACGATGTTTATGTTTTATCTGCAAGATATTTTTGGCGGAAACGGTAAAGCAATGCGGATTGCGGTAGTTGAAAATTTTATGAAATGACATGTTTGCGAAGTGCAAACCGCGATTTTTTAATCAAACAAAAATTTATGACATTCGAGCCGCGAGATTTCATACCTACTGAAATTATATGATATTAGAGCCGCGATATTTCAGACAAAAATAGGACTTTTCCAGACTAGCCCAGTCGCATACCTAGTGCCTAGCCTAGTGGCAAAGCAGAGAATTTTATGGCTCTCCCTCAAGTTCATTTTTGAGTCCTAGAAGTAGACCATTAAAGTATCCTGGATACCTCATACCAGCATCATCATACATAAGAAATTGGTTTAAATCTTTGGTAAATGAGAAAATTAAAAATGAACTGATTCTAGAAACTCTGGTTTGTCACTATGCCCCACCTCTGAATACTGGACTTAATTAATTACAGAATCATTAGTTTTGATTATTTTAGTGTCTAACCTTGCCGGTGGCGAAGAGTGATATTACTATTTTTCGTAGTAGGTATATAAATGGTATATTTTCCTCGACAGTAGCACAAGATTTTACTGAGGAAGAGTTACCGAGTTAGAGTACTGTGTCTGTGCCCTGTGGTAGGTACTAGGTAGGTATCCGTCTATCTATTCCGTCTTGAATGACTAATAGAATGAGTGAATATTATAAAAAATATACGAATGAAATACTGCGGGATGAAATTTTTTCAATTCATAACAAGTAGTAAATCAGCACCACTTCGTTTCAAATTTGCACACAATGGAATTAATTCATCGGCTAGTAAAAATCTAACTATTCAATCGAACCGCGCAGCGTATTCCAATAGAAAACGGTTCCATTAAAGTTCACGAGGATAATGTGAACTTAGTAACTGATGCAGAACAATAACACTGTAAAACTAGAGACGGTTGACAGTGATAAAACAATATTATATTTCTTACAAATAACACTTAAACAACGAAACCGTGTCCGTTGAACGAGGTATTAGCTAAAATTTACATACATTTGCATTACATGACTTCTTTTCCGGGTATCCACGCTGAGTGGACTTAAAGCCGCATCCATTGTCCCGTTTTCTGTTTAAATAGTCGTGAGAACGACAGGTACATCCAACAACGGAGCAGTAGCGCCCCTTCTGCAAGCAAAAACTTCAAAAAGAGACAAGCGCAGCAGATTGAACACGTAGGCGAATGCTAGACCCAATAAATATGACGGCCGATCCCACCATGCATCTCGCGATTCGGTGCTCGAGCCCGAACATGAATGCCCCTCCCATAAAAACTCTCCTAACATATATACGAGTGTTTTTCGAACGCCCCTAACGCTACGTATTAGTTACATGAACTTGTTCATATCCAACATCAATCCATAGTACTCGTAAATTACTTGAAGTGTTACACACTCATCATATCATAATCCATGTTTGAGGCCAAAGTTCGCACATCTGACACTCAAAAACCTTGTTAAATTGCGCTCTCTTTAACATCTGTTTTCATGCTAAAGTAATAAATAAACTCAATACCATACACGGGTAACTCTACATTGTATTTCAGATAGGTTCTGAACATTGAGTGCGCTTTAGTGCGGAAACTTGAGTTTTTTGTTTCGGAAGCTGCGTCTTGAGCAATAAGATTCGGTTGTTGGGAGGTGATGCTTAAAAATGTGTAAAAAACACAAACGCAAGTTCCCTAATTTAAAAATAATGAAACTTTAACGTGGCCGGAGCAGTAACTTCACTAGCTCACAAAGGCGTTTAGAAAATGATAAGTATTACGGGACAGTCGAGAGAATGAATCCTTTGCAAACAAATTAAACATCGGAAGAATTCACCCACAAGTATGAGATGACCAAAAGATTTACAACGTCAAACAAAACACTCATCCAGGAGAGGTGAATGCAGTTGGAAGCTTTCTGATGCTTCCTATGGAATTTTTTCCATATAAATAAACGCTATAAAATCGGGAATAGGAAAACCAATGCAGATACGAAGTAAGAATTATAGGTAGGCGCTCACTTATCTCGAAACGTGGTTTCGACCCCGCAATTCACTATTTTGAGGACCTTGACCAGCAAGTCACCTCGAAATCGAGATTGGATAAAATTTGAGAAAAATATAAAAATAAGGATTGATGACAGATGAAGTGATGTGAATAATACTCACCTCATTGTAAGACTGGCTACGAAATCAACTGCTTTGAATAGAGGTATATACTGAAATAATAATTTTTTATTCGGCAAAAATCAACACAATTAAAAAACCTTTAAATGCGACGAAGATTGCAGTATACAATCTAAATAGATAGGATTGCTATTGCGCAGTGAATCTTAACATATTTCGTAACATGGCAAAGGGTATCAAACCTCAACGAACGTCAAACTCTAATCACTGCTATAGCAGGCACCCAGTAAGCGGTTCAAATTTATTTCTGACATCTAACAATTGTCTCCATCACATGGCCCAACTAAATTAATAAAAACCCATCTCAACACTCCCAATATTATTTTTTTAACTACTTACAGGTAACATCATGGTAACTTGAAATTAAAATCAACATAACCTGGCAGCTCAAACGGTTGCGTTTAAACTCCAAAATTTAAACATGAGAATAACTTCGATAATTCAGTTCTTAATTTGTACATTAAGGGTGGGGCCAAAAAACATAATGCTTGCTAGCTAATACGACAGCAACTAAAATAGGAGAGCACATCAGAAACCAAAATCTTTTCAGACGATTATTAGAGTAAATCAAAAAAATTTCTTACATTCCATGAATAACTGATTCTAGTTTTTATAAAATTCGGTAACAACGTTCAGTTTTAGTATAACACCACACAACCAGAGGGTGGATGCTCAAAAATTTGGAAAACTATCTAGTGATCTTAGATGACGTGAAATCCCGACACGGATTTCCCACATGCAATAGATAAAATTGTTGCTGCTCGTCAGGTGGTGAATGGACGATAGTTCGAGTATTTTTGAAAACACCGCCTTTAACCTTATTTTAGTACCTACATCTGGAAGGAACGACCAGGAAACAATGTTATCAAAATCTGCAATCATCACGATAAAATATTTTGTTATATATGTAGAGACCCTAGAGGGACACGTGAGGTAACATCAAATACAAGCAGGCACACAATATTACACGCACATAGGCACATATTTTTAGTAATGATAAAAGCCATAAATAAAAGCCTAAATCTATCCCCCAACCGGTTGAAATATTGATTGAAAAATTTCAAGATAAGAAATAGATAAAATATGTTACAAACAAGATCTGCGGAATTCAGGTGCAAATAAGCGATATAAGGCTAAAATCCAGGATGAAATATCTGCCTTCATTGTAAGGCAAGAGAAATGAACAAATAATCCACAATCAACTATGAGTTTTGTAACACAGAACCTAAACTGAGATAATAGAATATCAAAAGCACGACTGCACGGCATACATCCACGTATCAGAACGGTGAAAAAAGGTGTACACTTGTCTCCAGTCGAGTTCCATTTAAATACAGATTCTATGTAGAAGAAACAAGCAATCTTGAGCAAATTCAGTAACTTTCCAAAAGTTAATCACCTCTTGCAACAAAGTGATTAATAAAATAGTTATGGCAAAAATAAAATTAGAATGGAAGTGACTAAAAGCAAGATAAAATAAATGTAGAAATATCTCAACATACGGCAACTCAGAGCCTTCCTTCTATAGTATCTCGGAGAATAATAAAAATGAACATGCCTCTCCAATATTGTATTACATAAATACAACTCATTGACTTTCCCACATGGAAGATCACAGCACTCGTACCAAGCGGCAGCTACAGGAGCATCACCAGTAGATGGCTTCAGTTTGCAGCTTGAATCTCTGTTGGATCAGATGAAGTATTAAGCTGTTTTGCTTTAATTCATAAATAAACACTTGGAGAAAAATGATTCAAGAGAATTTATTCAATATGTGTTAACATTCGGAAGAGAAAATCTGAAATCTGTGTGCTTAAACTTTGAACATCACTGATAACATTGAAACAAGTAATTCACAGACTGCAAACTAAGCCAAGAGTATTGACAAGTCTAAAGTATGAATACATAAACTCCACAAACGTGTACAATCTAGAAATTTTATTATTAAAACTAATCCCAGAATATATACCCTGCTTAAATATATGATAATCAAGACTTTTCTGCAACTTTATTAAGTCATGATATTTATTGAAGTTTGAAAAAAATATACAATTTCAGGCTACCAATAAAGTTAAGATATTACATTTTAATCTTTAAATATTACACACCACATTTTTTCCATCATTACAATAGTATTAAAATGGAAATGTGTGATGATCAGTCAAGAACCAAGAATTTCTGTGAGTGTTAACATTAATGTCATGATACCAGAAATCGACAACTCTTAGCACAGGACTTTCAAAGACTACACCAATTCTTCAACCTTGATCTTGTGAATTATTCAAATATAATAATACGAACTTTTGCAATACATTAGTTCACAATTAGTCCTGCTTACAGAGTGAGTTACCACAGGCTCAGTGCTACCATGTACCCACCTTGTGGTCCTCCAGTAGGAGGTGGGTCATCAGGAGGCGGGGCCCCACTTCCATGCTTCCTCTTCTCAACATGCCCTGAGCAGTTCTCACATTCTCCTTCACTTTCATCTGTCTCACTCTCATCAAAATTTCTGGGCTTGACGTAAACACAGCAACCTGAGGTAAAAGATCTTCTTCATAAAAGAAATACTGTAGTGCTGGTAATGATTTCAGAATTTTCATATCTTCCTGGTGATTTGAATGGTCAACTAACTGCTACTATCCAATTTTAAACCATCTGGCCATCTCAACAATTTTAACCACATTTCATAGATAGCTTTAGGTATCAGAGTTGTAACTAACTGAGGCAATCTTAGTGCAGTAAACATTCAGCACTCAAACAAAACATGAGAATTAAGTGAATATACAAAACTTTTTCTCAAAATCACACCAAGAATTTTATAAAATGAAGTGTACATCATGGATTTATCAAATGACTTACATTTCGATTTTTTCTTGCCTAAATTTTCATTATCAACAGTATTGTTGGTCCACTTGACTTTCTTTTGATGCTTTGGGCCGCGGGTCAACTTTAGACGCACTACTTCTCGAGCAACCTAGAGACATAATTAATGAAATGGAAGAAATGGCAATTATTTTTCAAGAATTCAGGTTAACTGTAGTCATTCATTGAAAATCAGAATAGTCAAAAAAATTAACATTCAGAGGATGAAATAGCAAGCATTAAAAATACATCCAATGGAGTCATCATCTGCTATAAAAAATCATACTTCAACATTATTAACTTTATAAACAAAGAAATGGACAATAAATTCTATTTTACAGAAAAATTTTTTTTTCAAGCTTTGAATAGCTTGGTAAAAATAGCTCAAATGTCAACAAAAATATATAAACAAAAAATCTTACTTGCTCAGGACTTGATTGCTGATCAGGGTTTTGCACAACAGTGCTGGCACCAGAGGAATCAGACATCATTGCTGACATTAATATGAAATACCTGTGAAATATGTCAAAATCTAGAGATGGAAGAAAATTAGTACTATGATTTATCAGTAGTACCGTATTACTATGAATTCCCTGTATAGTCAAATGGGGTAAGACAGGATCGCAGCCTTCATGGGGTAAGAAAGGACCAGCCCATGGCGTGCATTCTAATTGCACTGAATTTAATTTGACAAAAGAATATGTTAGAGCAATCATTGCCTGTCATTCCAGTGTTTATGGCAACCCTCTTTAGCAAATAATGAATTTCTGGCTAATTTTGGAAGAAAACCTAAGTAAAGAAGGGTCACAAAATAGTTAACCCTGTTTGGGAAATAAGCTCTGTCTAATAACAAAAAATTTTTTGGCCAGGTTAGTGGATGTAGGCAGGTAACCTCAAGTAATAAGCAACTTTTGAAACATACTAGGCATTCCTACCTGCTACCATCACTGCCTGACATCTATTCTAAAATGGGGTAAAAAAGGACCGGACATGGGGTAAGACGGGACCACTAAATGATCCTGTTTTACCCCACAAGTGGTCCTATCTTACCCCACAAATGGTCCTGTCTTCCCCCACAAATGGTCCTGTCTTCCCCCACAAATGGTCCTCTATTACCCTAGGTACAGTTTATCAAAAATAGTTTTTAAATGAATATATTATTGTGCAGTACATAGAGTATTTTGGTCAAAAATTTTATCTATGGCTCAAACTTCATTATAACTTGTTAGCTTTTTTAATTAAAGAAATTTAGTGCACTTTTTAAATTGCATCAAAGGGACATAGAAAATAGGGATATCTCTTCCCATTAGTGAGCTGCTGAACTAGTATGTGCAAGATTGGCTGGGGGAAAAATCATTCTGTGAAACATGAAAAATAATTATTATCACAACTCTGTGAGAGGGCATGGGCTACATTAGAAGAAGTACACCACAAATGCAGTTAGCAAGAAAACACATGAGGTCTGACACTTAAGTTATTATCCATTGGTTTTATTACCAATTTGACAAATTTATCAGACAATGACACTAATGGAATATACATGAAGCATTTAGCAGTGCTCTACAATGAACCAAAGCCAACCCACTATTACTATGCTTAACAAAGTTTTCTCATGACAAAAACTCCAATGCGACTGATATTAGAGTTGATTTCCCGCAACACAAAACAGTAACTAGTGGTTGTTTAATCAAATAATGTGTTTCTAGATTGATAATATTGAATATCAGATTCGTACTTTTATTAAAAACCGTGTAACATAAGAATTGCCAGTTGGTCCTGTCTTACCCCATGCCTGGTCCCATCTTACCCCAGTGGGGTAAGATGGGACCAGCTCACTTTTTTTAATCTGTACAGAAAACTATGTTAGATGCAAAACGTTTGAGTTGTAGCTTAGAAGCCCATTGCACATACATATATGTATACACCTTGTGATAGGTTTAGGGTTTTTAGTTATTCTTGGTTTAGATGCTACAGGCTTGTTAGTAATTTCGGTCCTGTCTTACCCCATCTAACTATAAATCTGCAATTAAAGCAATATAATGACATTGATACTTGTGTATGATCAAAATATGGCAAAGATTAAGATGGTTGCCACCTTTTAATAAAATACTGTGATCTTCTCCAAAAGACAGCAAAGACTTTGTTAGACATTGATTTCCTGGTGAAGTATAAGATTTACATGTTTTTCTCAAGTTTCGGAGATTTAAACTTTACAAATGGTGGCTTCATAATTCCAATTTTTATCAATCATGGCAGAACAAGCTCCTCTCCAGGGAATTATCCTCCAAGAGGAAGACTCTAGAATTTTTAACCAATTTGGCTTCCAAAAGTGAAGTATAAGTTGGTCCATAATTTTTCACCTTCAATGCCTTTGCTATCCACCAACATGCTAGATGGTCTACAGAAGCATTCAGGAAACTTACTGGTCAGACCCATCAAAGGAAACTCAGTAACCTTGTCATCCACAACAAAATTTGTCCTATTAACCCAGATAAGGTCATTTCCAACTCAAGTTCCTCCAACTTGAAACCCCCGTATCAAATTTTTGCTGGCTTTTGATTTTGATCTGCCTTTTTTAGAGTGGAACTTTTATAAATTTTTTAAGCCTTTGAAAGATTGCTGTCAACTGTTGCTACTCGGGACAGATTTGAGCATTTTTTTTGTTAATAACTGTTAATAAATTCTTATGATGAAACATTTCATAAACATATTTAGGCTCATTTTATAGCTCTTTGCCAGGGCTATGTATCAAATGGCATTGTCAAAAAAATTCCATATGCTATTCCTAAGGTGCCAGAAGCAAAAAAAAAAAGAGTATCCCGAGTAGCCCCGTCGAATGGGGCTACTCAGGACACTTGCAATAAAACTTCATTTTAAAATATTTGAAGCATGCAGAGTGTACTCATCCATTACTAACAGTACTCTGAAGTCCTCCTCTTTCATTGTAGATGATATAGAGGTAGAATAAATGACATTTTCAGTGATTTTCACTTGTTTTTCATTTATTGATGATATTACCATAAACATTAATTACAGTCAACTGGGGTGACTTTGGCTGCCTTTTTGATTTTGTTTTGCAAACAAAAATGGGGTCGTAAACGCCGGGGTCATAAACGCCAGGGTCATAAACAAGGTCATAAATGCCAGAGTGACTTTGGGCATCATTTATGACCCCGCTTTTGTTTGCAAAACAAATCAAAAACACAGCCCAAGTCACCCCAGTTGACGGTACCATATTATTGATGTGATATTACTGTATTATTGATGTGATATTACCATATCCATAAACATGCCATTGAGCATTTACAACAACCTTGTCCACTGCAAGCTTTATATCAGCAGCCTTATAGCATTTTTTCTGTATCTGTACGCTCACATGATGGCTTGTAATTTCACACCATTTTAATTGGTTTGAGTGAATTTACTATAAAAAAATATAACTCAGTACTCACTGCAGTGAGTGACAGGGAGCGCATTTTCTTCTCGACGAAATCTTGAGGTCACAGATGAACGGACAGACAGACAGACGGATATGGCAAGCACAATAGTGCTCGTTTATGCGCCATGTGCTCGTTTATGCGCCATTTCAATTGGGTTAAGTGAATTTACCATAAAAAAAATCGTGAAAAACATACCTGAAACAGAAAGGAATGTTTTAGTGACAACCATCATATATTTTGGAGAAATAAATCATAGTTTAGGTCAATTACTTTTCATTCTATGATGCCCGGTGCACAATTATATATATATATATTCCAAGATACCGGTCTGCTGGCGTTTTTAATTAGAGTTCTCTTGATTTAGCGTTGAACCGATGTAAATGCACAGGATGGTCAATGATACACAAAGTAGATTTCTTATAATATTTTCGGACGAAAGACGCTGATTATTGAGCATTTCACCGGGTCTTCTATGGATGTAAATGCAGTTGCAGTCACGACCGGTAGTGGCACTTGGCTCGGTTCTCACATGAAGGTCACGACGCTCTCGGCACAGTTCGTGTAGTCTTATTTCGGATGCGGGGCAATATTCGGCAGAATTTGCGCTGCAGTGCGAATTATCCAAGCACGTCTGCCTATAATAATTTTAGCCTTTCACACTCTCGAGAACTTAGCTCGGAGCTTCTGCGACGTTGATTGTTTTCTTAGAGTTCGTTTTACATTTGATGTGTAGTTGACGTCTGATCTTGCCGGAATACGAATTACCGTGAACACTCGTTTTGGCTAAGGTCGAACCTCCAAATACCGTGTTCAGTAGTTGTGGCTTCGGTAAAACCTCCAACTAGCGTACATTGGACGCGTGTCTACGTCGTGACGACACCCTTCTGGGAGGGCCTCACCTGGGAGCCTCAACTTCACCCTCACTGGGGAGCCGTGGGGGGATGGTTCCCCAGGGTGTTGCGTCCTGGGAGGCGCTACCCGTTTGGCCTGGACCAACGTTTTTTCTGATGGAAAAACTTGGGGACCCGACGGCCTGGTGCCTGTAGTGTACCTTCTCCTCAACATCCTACAACTCAACACTGATGGCCTCCGCACTAAGCCCGTCGAACTCGAGCAATACATGCACTCTATCAAAATTCACGTCGCCATCATACAAGAGACGAACCTCAGGCACTCTCCTTCCCAAACTAGCACCTAGATGTCACCACTCTCAACATTATAGCTAACTTTCCATACGCCCACTGCATCATACCATCAAGCTGGAGAACAGGCAAAATCATAACCCTCCTGAAACCAAACAAACCCCCCACCGAGGCAGCCTCCTACAGGCCCATTACACTCCTCTGCTCACAATCCAAACTTATGGAGCGCATCACACTCTCCACAACCACGCTCCACATTCCCCTCTAACCCACACAACACGGTTACAGGACCCATCACTCCACCACCACACTCCTCAACAACCTCACACAACGTATACAAGATGACATTAATTCCAAACGCCCTGCACATCGCATACTTCTGATTACAATAGACTTTAGCAGAGCCTTTGATACCATCCCGCGCCTCCGACTCACAGACAAAATCTACAATACAACACTACATAACAACACCAAACGCTGCCTGGCCAACTAGTTAACAGGCAGACAGTCACTCGTACACTACAGTGGCAAGTCATCACGCACATGGAACGTACCCAATGGAGTACCCCAAGGATCAATCCTCTCACCAACCCTTTTCAACCTTTACATACATAACATTCCAGCCCCACCCGACAATATTCACATTTCATCTTACGCAGACTACATCACAATTACATCAACACACACCAATGCAAACACATGCTCCATACAAGTACAACCTTACATCACACAACTAGAGGGCTGGCTAGCACGCAACTGACTCGAAGTAGCCCCCACCAAATCAACAAGCGCGCTAATAACAAGCCCACAAAGGAACATCAACACAGACCTTCAGTCCCACTAAACAACACCATCATACCACACACACATGAAATCAAGATTCTAGGTGTCACTTACAACACTTCTATGTCTTTTGGGCCATACATACAACAAATAAAAACAAATTGCAGACCTAGGCTAAACATACTCAGCCCTCACAGGAACAACATTCGGACAGAACAAAGAAACTCTC